GATATTAAATTACTAAATTCTTTATCCGACAATTCCTATACTCATAGAGAAAATAATAAAATGAAGATTACCAAACTAACTAAGAAACAGACGTGTTTAGGATAGGTTAGAATTTTTTTACTCGGTGTACCAAATTAATAAATATCGATTTTTAAATATTTTCTTATGTATTGAAAATGATGTAGAACCCCTTTTTATAACCGGAAAGTAAGTTTAGGGTTATGAGGAGCTAAGCTCGAGGTTCCCAGTCCTTGGCGCATAACATCGCGCCTACCCGGTTAGTTAGATAAGCTTTGTCTGCACATGTTTTCGTCGTCGTGGTATTAAGGACACGTGCATTCAGTAACTAATTGCAGTGTGTTCGGCGAACTTCGTTGTATTAGTAGGGACAAGGACAAGAAATCTCCTTTTATATGCTGACTATATAAATATGAATAAGATTACATTGAAGCAAAAATGCCTATTCTTTCTCATAAATGATTTTCTTGAGAGATCGTGTGATGAACGGATATTCTCCTTGCTGGTTTTGTGAATATCTTTTGTGACATTTCTTTTAATTACAACCCTGCATTGGTTTATTAACTTCAATGACTATTATTAGCTATTAAGAAGGAAAAATTTGATATGCCCGAAAAAAGCAAGTAGACAGAGGAGAGCCAAGAGCAAGAAACCGGATCGGGAGTTTTAAGTTGTGTGTGACAAATCATTAAAAAGATAATTTAAAAAAAAACAAAAGCTTGCAAATAAAATATTTTAGTTTTGCAAATCAAATATATTAAAGTGAAAATAATATAACGCTAAAATAATTCTTAAAAAATGGTGTAGAAGAAAGTTGAGAAAACAAAGTTTGGTTTTATTGTAGTTAAAATTCTTCATCTTCCTTCTTTGAATTAAAAGGAAACAAATACTTTTCAGCTCCATTATTGGTAAGGAAAAAGGGGTCGAAAAGTTAAATGAAAGAAAACTTTTGAAACACTTTGAATTACTTGAAACACATTTTTAAAACCTAAGTGAAAAACTTTGAAAGTGAATTAAATATGTGAAAATCCTCGAACATGACAAACTTCTAAACATATACTTAAAGGAAAAAGCGACATGTATATAATCTACATATATATGTGCTAACCATCGTAATGTATTAGCAAAAATAGCGAACAACAACAAAAAAAATGAAATTGTTTGCATGACCTTGAATATAGTTACGAACGATTGAACGTTTACAAAATTAATAATTAAATTCAACTTTGAAACACATGAAGTTAACAGTTCGTTGCTAATCTAAATTGCTAAGTGCTCTTGTGTATGTGTAATAACAATGGAAATTAAATACGTAATAGTATCCCATAATAGTAGTATCTTTTCACAATCACTATATAAGAAACTAAAAGAAAAATATTTCAAAAAAAAAGAAAACAGGTGTGTAAATAAATTTCCATAAACAATAGAGCACAAAACTGACAGTAACAGCAGCGACTGTAGAACACGACAAATCGAGTACTACTTCTTCTCTTCATTTCATGTCTTATTTCTCAAAAGCGCACAACAACGGTAATTACCTTCAGTCTTCATATCTCTAACTCTTTCACCGTCTTAAATACCAGTATCATCATCAGTAGCAGCGGGTATACAGCGCTCCAGTGTTGTTAACACCATCAAGTTTTTCATCATATTTTCTTTCTTATATGTATTCCATATTTTTTTTTGTAACTTAACGTAAATTAAATAGCTAGCTAATTAAGTAGGTATATATTCGCATATTTCATTCTATTTCCTTTTATTTCCCTTTATTAGTATTGAACGTTTAATAGAAGCCTAATGATAGACGATTAAGGATTTCTTTCTTTTTTATATTATCAATTAATATTCCCTTCTTTACTGATGCGTACTTAACTAAAGGGAGAAATAAAAAAGTGTTACAATCTTTTTTGAAGAGGCAAGTAATATATAGAAGCCATCCAACCCAACTTTAGCATCTCTCACACAAAATCATGGGCCGAACGAGATAGGACTGAGCACGGAGTGGGCCAGTTCATAAGATAATCGCCTACGGTAAGTCTGTTTCGTTCGTCCGTTTCTTAAGGAATTTGGCACGTGTATTTCTTTAGTGTAACCGTGTTCGACGTTGTGAAAAGAAGATCTGTGTAATCAGATTTCGATCACTTGAAAAGAGAAGGCTGAATTTTGGTGTACGTGTTTTGTTTGAGCTTATTAATGATGAAATTAATTCATCATTTCTGCTGAGTCAGCTAGTTGCCTCTATTCTGTAAAAAGTTTCTTTGCATATCTTTCCCATGCGCTTATGGCATTATAGATCGTTGTAAAGTTGTCGTTTTGGAAGGGATCTGTGTAAAGTATCTCCTCCTAAGATGATCTTTATTTTATCAAAGCGCCACCTAAGCTACTCGGCTTCAAGGGCCCAAGTCTTCCTTCGTCTATGTTGTGCCAAAATTAACTTGCCTAGAGGAGTCTCTATCTAAATGCTTGCGATTGAAAGGCATATGAGTTCTAAATTAGAATCTGCCTCTCCTTATTTTATCTTCCTTATCTTATTTATACTTTATTTTCTAGTGTAATTATTATCTTACATGTCTACGAATGTTGTAATCAGAAAAATTGGTATATGAGTTTAACTTCGAATTGCATTTCTTTTAGATGACAAATTGGGCTACTGAAGAATGCAATTCGAAACGTTTTGAAGTGTGGCATACTTTGTTATTTTGTTATCTTAATGAAATTTTGTTCACAATTATAAATTATGACAAACTTCAAGTGGACGCAAATCAGCACCGTTATTTAGTTACACTACAATTATTTATTATAGATTTATTTTGTGGGCTTTGCTCCCTGTAACGATCTTTATGAAAAATAATGTTTATGGCAGAAAAGTCTTGAATATTATTTGATGAAAATAGGCAAAAGCAGATTAGAGCTTTCAACAATGCGATTATATGGAAACAGACCATTATTTTAGACATATTATTACGAAAATAAATTAAAAATTATGTTTAATGAAGACCTAAGGTGTTGAAATATACGTCCTGCCCGAACAAAACGTTTTTACTTCCCTTTAGTTTTTTAGATTTAAATCTCATCTCTGAGAAAATATAAAACTTGACATCACGTGATGGAAGTTAAAAAAGCATGCAACTGCATATAAGCACAATACTTATCATGCATTATATTGTTAATCAATTCAATTTATATTTAAATTTATTTAACTAACTTAGTTAAAATTGAGTTACCACAGTTTATAAATAATATGATATTTAAAATATAAAAAGCTATGTAAATTAATAAAGAAAGAAATTTTTTATTTTCTGACATCTGAGTCCAGCAGTAGAGTGAATTATTAGAACAATCGATTTGAAAATATTTTACGTATTATTTTAAGCGTAATGTAGTTGCAAAGATGAAGTCAAGATCATCGCTGTGTTCTTGTTGAGAAAGAAACAATAACAGCAAATTCTAGTGAAACTGGAAATTGAGCAACAAAGAAGTGCAGTAAAGAGAAAAAATGTAAACGTTAATAATACAAGATTTTCATACCTAAATTCAAAGATTTTCTCAAGCAATTTTAGTATTCAACTGCAGTATTTACAATCTAACGAGCTGGCGAAAGGGCCTATGAGTCACGTGTCAGTCTTCCCGTGTCTTAAGTGCTTTTCCGAAATATTTTTATATATACTAAAAGATTTAAATTGTTGAAATTTCCTTCTAAGAAAAGCTACATAAACTACAGGATCATCCATATTGTAGTTCTGAAAATAAATCAACTTATTGGAGAAAAACTTCATGAACCATGTAATTTCCAAAAACGTATATGTGAGCTTGCCACAAAAAACATGCGTCATATTTGTGTTCAACATTTTAATTTAGGATTATTTTGGTGTATTGACTTGCTTTAAAAACCCTGAACTCTCAACAAGATTTTTTGTGTTATAGGTGAAATAAAAAAGTTTCATGTGGAGAACCGGAAAAAATTGTCTAACATAATATAAGCATCTTGAGACACCGCGCAATTAAGCAATCCTTCTTCAAGTTGTGAGGGAGAGGTGATAAAGTCAAACAAGCATATTCTGTATGCATATGTATTGATAAACATCTTCAACATCTTACATGTTAGATTAAACCATTGGCAAACTATAACCCAAGCTTTGCTGGCGTCATTAATAATAAAGAAATAAGCGCGAAGCACCTGAATTTTTATTAGGGCTGGGTAAGAACAGGAAATTACATTAATAAAAGGAACGATAGATTCTGACTGGTAATCCAAATTCATTTTCCAACTATCGAGAATAATTTTCAACCCTTTTTGGTGTTTTATATTGTAGGCGTCTTTTTCGTACGTCCATTGCGTTGAGCCACGTCGCTGTTCATATCATAAGGCTTAAAAACAGGAAATCATCGCCACCAATCCTGAATGTGAACAGTCTTTTTACAATCAAAAATATAGGGTTGGTTAATTCACGAAATTTGAATGTTTTTATTATGTTCAAAATAGCAAGCGTAACTACATCAAAATAACTGTAACTTATAAACAAATAATTCAAATAACTTGACATATAAACAATCGTTGTTGGGGGAGTGTCACTTTCTCAAAATAGTAGGAACTTCTTGATGGAGAAAAAACCTTGTTTCAGCCCCAGGATATATTCACTTTTGCTGTATAACCTATGCATATAGCATATATACCTTCATGCACCTTACATGTGCAGTTACAAGTTTTGAAAATCAGCTGACATGGCAGTATTATTTGCAATTTCAATTAACAAAGAAGCGTAGTCCCATAGGACCCTCGACCATTCTGTTATTTCAAAAGGTTTTGATCACGATTCATTTTATACAGCCAAAACAATTCCATATAACATTAAAATTTCAAAGCTTTTTTTTTAGGTCACCAAACTAAACCGACTCACCGAGTTGTGTTAATCATTTACCGTATATTTTTTAGCCAACTTAGTTAGTTAGAGTATTGATTTTATAAGCAAGTACGTATGTACCTTTTTTGCATGCATGAAAAGAATCCGTCTCATCAACATATTGAATATCATACATTAAAGTGGTATCTGGTAACATGCCCTTATTTCGATTTATAGTGTGTACAGCATACTTGAAAGCTAATTCCGTGGAACTATTCACTTCACTTTTTGAGAAAATTGCTCCTAAAATGATAGCGTCAATACACGTTCAATACCATATCAATTTATATGGATTGCTACTTTGCATTTCTTTATTTGATATTAACATTTCGGAACAATACATACCAATTCTTATAATTGGAGGCAAAGATTCCACGTTCAGTATGTTAATTACCAATGTAAAAATATAATGCGTTCTCATTTATAACTATTACTATTAATTGCTTTTAAAAATTAATCTCACACTGTTTTCAATTGTCAGTATACAATTCACATTGTTCTATTCCAGCCAAGTAGTAGCAAAAAACATAAGAATGCAAAACCACACAACCCTCTTTGGTTAAGAAAACATTAGTAAGGTATCACTTTTAGCTAAAAAAAAAAAAGCAAAACAAATTTTAAACGGTTTCGACTGAAATCTTTAAAACCTATTACTAGCTTCTGGTAGAGCGAAAGAGAATGCATATTAATCACCTATTCGTTATTTAAGACTAAATGAAAAGCAGCCATATGCACGTAAATACACACATAAGTAAATGAACTAACTCTATTTTTTTATTCATTAAGGTATTTACAGGTCCACGTTTTAACAATTCATAAACAGATATGCGATTGTCAAAAATATGATGAGATGAAAACGAATTTATTACACTTTGAAAAATATATATTTGTGGTCACACACTTAATATTCCTCGGATTAATTTATGACAGCTCATCATGTTTATTGACGTAAGGAAAGGTTTTCTCGACTTCATCATCCGTTTTTTTCAAAAATGGGTCTAAGTTTATTTAAATCGCTTTTATGTAATTTTATACAGGCAAGTATGTGGCATACATGACGTTTGAAATCATATTCTAATATAGTCTGATTGCGACGTGCAGGTGCTTTACATTGAAAACAACGACTGTGAACACAGTACAACATGCCAATTATGCGTTGCTTCATTGTATTTATAACCTTTAACCACCATTCAGAAGTGGTTCTTAATTATGTAAAATATGTTTGACTTTCCTTTTCGTTTTTGTCTGATTTTGAACGCATGTAACTGGCAAAACCCATTACTGCTCGATGACTTCTGCGTTATGTATACAATGTGCAGTAAAATATCGTCTGTCAGCAATTTAACGTTGTGTTATAGCGAAGTGTGTAGCGAAGTGTAATCATGTAAGCAGGTGACAATGCAGCAGGCGGCAGTCACCAATAAAAGCTGTTATGTAAGCAAATTCGCTAGTGATTGTTGCGAAATGCGCGTTCTTCGTTACGTCAAACCTGCAAGAAATTTCCATTAGTATTGAGTGTAAATGAAGAGAAGCTGCTAAAGCGCTTTCTTTTAAAGTTGCGATTTTTGAAAAACAGCTATAAAAGAAAAATTTAAACAGATGCTAGAAGTTGAATTATTTTTAATTTTTATTTTAAATGACGAGTCAAACGAAGGAATGTGAACGAATTTTCAACACAGTGCATCAGTACTTTAAATACTCCACAATGAAGACTTTGGTATTGACATTTTTGTGGAGGCACCTCAATTGACGTAGTCAGACGAGAAAGATAAAAGATTATTTCAGTGGCATAAAATGAGCATTAGGAGTTATTAAAATATAAAAAAGAAACATAGAATATCTCTGTTCTTCGGAATCTCATCATGTAATATCCTAAAAGACCCTTTGGCCATCGCGCAAATTAAGTTTCGCGAAATTTGTGATATAGCTGGTATTTAGAGTTGACAGAAATTCCGAAGTGACTCAAATGACCAGAACATACAAAAAAAGCTTACGCCACTAATATTTATAATTAGATCAATTAAAGTAAATTCCTCTAATGATAAAAATATAAACCATTACGTCAATATGAATGCGTTACAAGTAGATATGCTGCCTAAGATCATACTAAAATTAATTTCACATGTTAAGGTATGTTAAACACTGTACGTCATTGTACGCAATTCGTACAGCTGCTATTGTAATGCTTGCTGTTGATATTGCAGCTTTTACTTTTGGTATTGTCTCTTTTCTTCTTCGCACGAGGAAATTTTAGTTTTATTCGCTTGTAACGAATTTTGGTTAGTATTCTTTCCATTTTGTGCCGCAGTATGGTAAAAATACAACGACGTTACAAACTTCGAATTGAAGGTGCCTATACTTTAGTACTTACATTGAGAAAGAATTTCCAGTAATCCGCAGCAATTAATATTTCTTGTAAATCGATTATGATCATATGAACACTTAAATCCATTTATCATTTTATGGACTAACACATGTCATTTTGCGAAAGCTAAATGGCTGGCTAATTCGAATAAATTTAACTTAGATAAGAAAAAAGATTTGAAAAGAGTAACGGAAAAGGACTGAATTTTGGAAATTATATTAATAAATAAACAAGCGATGTTGATCAATACATACATTTTAGGCAAAAACACAAATACGTTGTGGAAATGTGCGTTGCTTTACACGAAGCCCAGTATTAAATTTATGTTTTAAGAAGATAAATGAAGTCCTTTTTTGATTTTTGAGGTCGTTGGTGTGGAAGAATAACTGCTAGGTTTGAATCATTTACAGCCTATTATCACTTCACATTATATTTTTTTTTGTATATAAGCAGGTCTCACCCCCTGCACGTGTTTTGTGGCTGTTTAGTAAATACTTCTTTTTCACGTGTGCCTGCTGACTGAAGTGTTTAATTGCTTTAATACCTACACAGGGAGAAAAGACACATTTGGTGCAGTTATGTTTTGCATATAAAGGAGCAAACTTCATCGTTTGACATTATAAAATATTAAAGAATAGTTGGTGACTCGTAATTGTGCCATCTATTTCAAACCATTATGCTACGTGTAGGTAGAATGAAATAGGGAAGGAATTTTTTGAGTACTTTTAAATATGTAATTGTTGTCAAGTTTTCAATTTAAAATATTTTCAAAAATGCTTTATATATTAGTCGTTACGAAACGTTAAGCATAGATACAATAGATGGAGTGGATTTATCAAGGAAACCTGCTATTTCTGATGCGCAAGCAATAACATTTGATTGTCATATATTTTAAAGAGAAACGTCGTAAAGGAACTTGAAATGCATGCAAACGCAACAAAAAAAGTAAATACATGCTGTGTTAAGTCCACATATTTAGAGTCGAAATTAAATTGATAAGCTTCTTTCAATGCGCGGTTCTTTTTAATACTTTCTATAACAGCGGCGATGCCTTCATGCTATTTTCCAGAAGTTCCTGTTTTAATAATGGACCTATACCATGTCGGCTTGTTGAAAGTGGCTGTTGTATCACTATGTCGTTGTATTACCCACAAATTTTACACAACTTTCTGTTTATTTATTTTTGTTTGTTTTATTTTGTCATTGATATAATGTTGGTTGTTTAAAAGCAACAAATCGTGAGTTTTGCTTCTTATTTCTGCTTAAGTTTTGCAAAATAACTAGTAACAAAGGAAGGTATGACGAAAGATATACGAAATACAAATTTTAAGACAAAGACAAATGGCTCGTTAGTATTAGTTATTATTATCATTATTATTAATTTCGCCAGAGAAATAAATTCTAGACTAAACTCTTAAAAGCACTAGCATCTAAGGCCATCGGCTTAAATTAAAAACTCTACCGCACTTGAGATTCGAACCCACAACCATTGACTTGCTAGTCGAGATTCCTCGCCTTCGGCTACTCAAGCGGATAGTATTAGTTAGTTCAGATAATTCATCAGAACTAATACTAGCTTTTCTATAGGTGTATCTTTCAGCACTTGTAGCTGAAAGGCCCAAGGTAAACAAAAATTGATATGGCAAGTGATTAAAATAATAGAGTGCAACTGATAACTGATATTGAACCGAAACCATAGCAGAATTATTGTATGTAAATTATTGAATGACTTTAATAAAATGTTGAGCTTGCATTATGTACTATTGAACAACATGTGCAAGCATGAATAATAAGCAATCGCTACTAAAGCATATAATCATGCAATTATGATTGATCTCAGTAAAAAGTACAAGTACGCAAATAGTAAATTGTAACACAAAGTAGAGCGCACACACAGTTTAATGACGCTATCATATTAAACGCTAACATACGCTAATATATTAGCAGTAGACACTAAGAAGTTACCAAGCTTCGTCACTGAAGCGAAAGGAAGTTAATCAAAAGATAGATAATCAGGACGCTGACTGGGCAATAAATTATTTTGCTAATAAAGTTTAGTTAAGAAGCACTTCCAAAACAAAATAAAAAATTGTGAATTAAAAAGACTTAGGTGAAAGGTAAGTAAAATAATGTTAAATGTTAATGAATAATCGATTAACGTTAATCAATGCTACGCAATATAAGATTATGCTTTTCGATGGAAGACGGTTGGGGTTCGCAAAATGAAACCATTATGAGACGGAGAAGAGTTTGTATATAAATTGCCTATAGAGCATCTTCGTTTTATTTAATTTTTTATTTTCACTTGCAATTCAGCTACAACAAAATAGCAGCTAAATGGAGTAGACTTTTAACATTTGATCTTAAGTTAAACATTAGGATTAAGTGATATAAGCCAAAACATAAAGGAACAACAAATATTCCAAATCATACATAAGTTAACAAGAAAAAAAAAATTAGCGAGCAACTAAATTGAACAATTCACGAAGTTTTATTGATAGTTAATTGAGATACGGCGTACTAAGACATGAATATGAAGGAATGTCGATTTGATAGTATTAAAAGAACCCGCTTTTGAGATAAAATTATAGATATCTTACATGTTTTGGCAGAAGAAGTTAAATAGAATGAAGAGTTCATAATTTTGTCTGCATTGACTAGGTTTTATGACAATAAAATTTCTAAAATTAAGTGTAGGAGTATTGTTGCTATCTCCTAATAAGGTCGGGTAGTCAATTCTACCATATAGAAACTTTAATAAAAATGAACACATCTGGGATAAACCTATCTTCCATCAGTGAAGATAGTGCCCAAATTAGCAATCTATTTTTCAAAGGTTGCAAGAAGACTAGTGGATCCCATCCTAAATTCCGAAAAGCGAAGAGCAAGAATTGTGTTTGAAGCGATTCTGCTGAATCAATGTAACATCTACAGGCAATAAACCACACGATCGATCCCTATATCCTGTTTGCTACTTGCGGATCTTCAACTTCTCTGGATCACTGTTTAATACTAAATAGTACTATGTAATATGCCCATAAATTTGTAATGTTTTGCATTTATTTTGTACGTTTTATCGATTATTTCTCACAAAATCAATGAAACTAAACTAAAACTATTAAGCTAAAATCAACAATGATTTAAGAAAAGTTGAAGATTTTTCCTTTCGAACGAAAAAAAGAAGTAAAGGAATTATGCTTAATTTAAGCCTGTCCGAACTTTTCTTTACCGAGGTAGCTTTATCGTCTGAAAGTTAACTAAATCCATAATTTTTGTACTAGGCCTTTTTAAAGTACGCCTAAAAAGCGAATTTAAGACCGTAGGAGCAGGTAAATTGAAGGTCT